ATTCTAGGAAACGTATTTGACTGGATAAGATTTATTTGTCTGGACTATTCACCTTTGTGGAGTTATTGGATGTATATTATAAAAGGTGGAGGAAAAGTTGTTAATCACCATCAAGCAATGACTATCTTTTTTATCACTATTATAGGCACTGCTATAAACTTTGCAAGGTTTTGCATTGGATTGGATTTCATATACTGCCTTTTCAGTAGCACCCAAACTTCTTACTAGTGTCTCTAGGGTCCAGCCTTTTCTGTCTTCAGCCAGTGTTTTAACCCCATTTCAGGTCTATTTCTGCCTTAACTGTCTCAAACCAGACCTGTGGTTGCCTGTGCATCACAGTACTATCTGTGCTCCCCCCCGCCACCTATCTAGGATGCTTCTTAGTCCTATTTGCACTTTTCCCTATGATTATCCAACAAGTTCCAGCTCAGACACTATATCTTGATAGAGTTATTTGTCATTCATCACAAAGTGATTATAAAATGATTATAAAGTGATTTTTGAACGATTTTCCATATAGTAATTGTATGGTATAGGCACTTAATATTATATCTTTATGACCTTACACATCTACAATGTCTCCCCACTGTCCTGACTGTAAGCTTCATGAAGGCTGAATGACTTTGCTTCCTTTCATATCTTTAGAATACAGTAGCTTTTATGGAATCTGGTCAAAGCTCTAAAACTATCTCATGAGTAGATAAATGGATGAACAATATTTACAGAGATAAACTTGATGTGGAAACTCCAGTTAGAAGATTAAACAATTTTATCTTCATGGAGGTACAAAATGAGCAGATAACACTGGGTGTTTGTCTCTAAGGGGAATAAGAACACTGAGATATAATATGATCTTGGAAAGGAAAAACAGAGAAGAGATCTAGGAAAGACAGTGATCAGAAACCAGTAGAGTAGACTCTTAGGCCACAATCTCATGAATGCACAGGAGACACACACACACACACACACACACACACACACACACACACACACACACACACACACACACACAGGAAACCAAACTAAATGCCAGGCAGGAGGAGAAGTTGGCACAGCACGGAACTGCAAGGTCTGAGGAAAATGAGCAATAAGAAAAGTCCAGTTTAATTTGAAGATGGATGTTTTTTATAGACCATTTCAGTAGATGAAATTGTCATAACTAACCGAAGATATGAAAAGCCTAGAGATTAATGAGAATAGGAAAACAAATAGAAAATAGAGAAGACAATGGAGTGCTTATGATTAAATTTACTGCTGTTCAAACTCTATCCCTTGGTTCTCTTAACTCTCTTGCTTGTATCTATTATATCCAGTAAATGATAACTCCTAATAACAATGGCTATCCTGCTAGGTTTTATTTGTATGTGGCTATTGTATAGGAGATACTCTGTTAAGTAGTTAGGCACCAGAAAAACTGTTATAAAGTTATCTGTTGTGTAACAGCTAATGAATTTGAAATGGCAATGAAATAGTTAGATTCATTTAAAAATAGATTTTAAAATTAATAAAAATTCTGGAATAGGGTGCTGGGAAAAAAAGCTTCAAGAACAAAGTGCCTCAAAAACACACAGGATTGTGAAAGTGAAGAGAGGAAGATGTTGACCCAGAGGGAAGCAGTAAGGACAACAGGGCCGTGGGTTACGTTTCTATGTCCAGCCTTGATTTATGCTTCAGGCCATGCCTTAAACACAGTCACAATACTTTGAGGCTTTCTAAAAACATGGATCATGGATTCATGAGACACCCCAGGATTCCTAAATTAAAATATCTTGCTGTGCATTTAACACATTTTTAGGGTGATTCTTAGATTTACTGAAGCATAGGCACTTCATCCAGGGGACATTTATATTGCCTCTCTCCTGGGCTCATGGAACAGCATCGTCTTTGGGTCTGCCTTGGCCTCTGCTCTGTGTGCGGTACTTTAGGAGTGAGGCTGTGGGAAGACCTTAGATTTGTGAGTGTAGAAGCTTAAATAAACTGTTTAGTGACTTGTTTTTTAGGAAAAAAACTTAACCTTACATTAGATATTAATATGTAATTAGAATTAGAAAATAAAATAAATCATTAGTTTTTAAAAGGCAATTTTGTAAAAACTAAAATAGAATTATTGATAATCAACTGTACCACATAAATACTTTCTGCTCACATAGTGTTAAAATGCCTTTTATTTGACAACTGTTTACCACAGGAATTTTGTGTACAGATAGAAAATAATTGTCTCCCATGACAGTTTTGACAAGAAATTTTAATTATTGATGGTTGTGATACATAAATCTTAAAATTCTACCCGACTATCTGTTGTATGTAATCTGTAGAGACAAGTATTCTAATTCCATTTTCTGTACAAAAGGAAAAGTAGGGTGTTTGTAAGTATATGTAGTAAACTGAATAATTTCCTGAGAGTGGAGAGTTTTTGTTTTGACTAGGTGTTCATGAAAATTGAGCTGTAGATTTAAATTTTTACTCATATGATTTTTTTTCTGTTGCTTCTGGCATACCTCTTCTTTACTCTCTATATATTTATGGTGCTACCCAGTGTGGGTCACTTTATCTACAGTGTGTCCTTTTGGTCCAATACTGGCATGTCCCCATGTTCAGTGAGTTGATGCCATAGGTTGAAAAAAACATCCCTGAAATACACTCCAACAGCAGGAGAGACATCAGTGACATACCTGTATGGATTCTGCAAGCCATATAAATATATTCTATACCACCTCTACTCTATGAACTTAGTTCAGCTTCCTTTTGATTGAATCTCCAATATACCTGTAAGTCCTCCAAAGCCCCAATGTGAAGTGAAACCAGAACTGAGTAAGACAGTGTCTAACAAATTCCATTGACAGAATCCTTTATATTCAGCTCCATAGAAATATTTGACTGTGTTCTCACAGTATTGGGGCCTTTGTCAGGTAGTTCAAAGGAGCCTTCCCCAGTGAGGACTTGAAACTTCAACTGGATTCGTTGGATTGTAGTTATTTTCCTGAAAAGGAACAAGAAGAAAGACAGATTCAAGCTTGTTTTCCCCATTTTTTTGGCAATTAAGCATATTTGGATTGTTGATGAGAAACAAATATCCTCAGCCTATGTGAGTTCTCTACCTGGTACAGAGTGACTCATATGAGTGACAGTAGTACCTTATGTTTGCCTGGTAAAACCTTTCTCTATAACTTTCCCAGGAAGTTCCTCCCTGCCTTTCCTGCTCTTGATTCATTTTACAGAGTTGCAAACAGAAGAGTTGGGAGTATGGTGGGCATAAAATGTCCTGTGTTAATCAGAGAAGACTATTAAGCCATACAGCAAAAGATCTCAATTCTAACCCTATGATTTGACAGGGCTTTAAAATCTTTGGCTGGTCAATGATGGGGTTGGAAAAAAAATCACTGCTTCCTGTGACCCAAAGGGCTCTTTGAAGGTGTTCCAAGGAGCTCTGCTTTCTTGATATTTAACATGATAGTCACAAGATTTTTTTCTGAACATGGTTATACGAAGAAAAGAAGTTTTAAAGGGAAGCTGTGTTTTCAGATGTACACAAATATTTATAATACCCTGAGCCCCTGGTTCTAACATTGGAGACCAGTAACTTTTAACTGTTAGGTTTCTTTTGGATTTTGATGCTTAATTGAGGTTGAGTGAGGATATTCCAGATGAATAACATTCAAGCTTGTCCTTTATAGGGTAGGCTATGGTGTTACTGATTATGGGTACAAAATCTGTTATTATTACTTAAACAGATTTTAGATGCCTTTAGGGATAACACAGCTGACTCTGATGTGTATGTCCATAACAGAGAGTTCCTCTTCAAAGCCCTCACTATGTTCTGTCAACTTACAACTATGTATTAAAAAACCTTGATAGCCCTGTTTTCGCTGTCTTAAGTTTATTGAGCACATCTTTCCAACAAGTGATCATTTCATACCTAAATAAATAGTGATGCTCTTGGTTGTAGTGATTCACACAAATAGTAGAAGTGAGATGGCAGCACTTATCTCCAGATGTCTCACTGGTCAAAACTGCAGGATTCATATGCCAAGATTCTTATGTCACTCATCTCCCTGATGTCCCAGAAATCTTATAGTCAGCTACAGAGGGTTAACGCCTCTAACCGTTATTCAGACCTTTTAGAAAATTGGCAGATTGAAATAAAGGGACCTCACAAATATAACTCTAAGGCTCTGTAAATGTTTCCTTACTTCATAGAATGATTAAATGGAAAATAAAGTCACATTTCCTTCAGGCTTCCAGGGCACTCTTCCTACTTCTGATTGATCTTCCTGCATAAAAATACCAGTGAGTGATGGTTCTGTTGTAGCCCTATCCCCCACAATAATCTGTGAACCATAGGAGAGTTATTGGGAGTTTAATGGTAGAATTGAGATCATCTCATAGCACAGAATTAGTCTTTGACTGACAATGCAAGTACAGTGGAAATTAACACATACTAGAGAAGGGTGTGGTCACTATTCTTGGAGAAGGTTTAGTAATCATATGGAGTTGTGTCTACAACACTCTTTTTAACTCCAAACACGGAAAAGTTCTAAGTGTCAGCTATTGCAGGCAGAAGTGTTGCATTTGAGCCTTTTTGTTTTTAACGCTCAAAGTCAATTGCATGAGTAATCATTTTTATGTACACCTATGCAGTGTTGTGGTGAACTAATTCTACATTGTACCCCAGGAATTTGGTGACCCTCTGAATATATCCTTCAAAACACAGTTGGGATTCTGAGAATTCTTTAGAAAATGGCTCTCAGGGTGTCCTTCCCTTCAAAAACATGTGTGGGTGCCTTATACTCACACTAGTAAAAAGGGTTGCTTCAAATAAGGGAACCGAATTGTGCACCGGGGAGAGCCAATTTTGTCCAGTAGAAACAGACTTTTAGAGTTGTCAGAAAGGTGGGAATGTACAGCCAGCAGCCGGCTGAATCTCTTCATCAGTTGATTCCCCTGTTTTTTGCTTTCCTCTCACAGCGGTTTAATGCTTCTCTGTGCCTGGTTTGTTTCAGATGCCTCAGGAACAGTACTCTCACCACAGGAGCACCATGCCCAGCTCAGAGGGGCCACACATTTACAAAGTGGGGATTTATGGCTGGAGGAAAAGATGCCTGTATTTCTTTGTCCTGCTCCTCATGATTTTAATCCTGGTGAACTTGGCCATGACCATCTGGATTCTCAAAGTCATGAACTTCACAATTGTAAGTGAAACTATATAAATGTGTTAACTCTCAGTGAAGGAAAGGGAAGCATGGAGCAAGAGAGCGAAAGGATGTGGGAAAGTGGTGTCCCATGACCTGGCATTTGAGCTCAAACTAATTCCTGTTCAGGTTGGATATGAATAGCAACTTCTGTCTAACCTCAGTCCTTCTTGGGCTGAGAGTCCAAATTTAGAGTCATTGCTGTCACCTAAGGTATCTTGTATGCCTTCCCTTGATCATGATAATGTTGTAGTCTTTGACCACTTAAGGAAATACCTCAGCAGAAAATGAAGAATAAAGTGAATGTATTTGTTTTCACCAATTTTAATAGCAATGATGAATCCTTTCATCAGGCAAGAGTTGGAATGTGTAAGTACAGTTGAGCTCCGAGAACCATATAAGGACGCTAGCAGGCAAATTACACCTGTTTGTCATTGTTGTGGCTCACTGAAAATCTCTAGTTTGGGGACAGAAGTGTTTTCTACCATTGCCTGTGTCAGATGGAATTGAGAGGAAACCAGCTGTATTTCCTTGTTTTATTATTCCTCTAAAGAGATATATATGTTTTGATAAAAATCTCTTGTTTCTGGTGCTCAGAGTATTGTATAGATCAAACATTGACTTGTTGGAATTCAAGGGAAAAGAAGACTGTTGCAAAATAACATGTGTGTATTCTGAGGTCTTTTTAATTTAGTGATTTGAGTCTGTAAAGTCAATATAATTAACTTACTAATGATAAGGTCACAGATGCTAATCTGCTGCCCTGGGAATACATTTTCTCCTTCTGATGTCAAAACAACTCCTTATTGATAGTTAAATGAAGTCATAACAAAGTGAAATAGTGAGGTTTTACCGTGACAATCCCAAATGTAGATATTGGTATTTGTGGTGTTTTTGAATCATAAAATTCATTTTTGTTCTTGACTTGCTCAGGCTACATCTATTAGTCAGTCTGTATTTTCCTCCATGTTTCCTATCTGGAGATAACACACCTTGGTGCTTTGTGGCTGCCTTTATGTATCTCATGTTGTATTTCACTCTCCAGAGGACAAGTGCTTGTATGGGTTAGATTTTTATGCATACTTTCTCTGTGGGTCTTTGTCTATCCCTCTTAGTGATGCTTGCTGGTACTGCGGTTAAGTGTGTAGTATAAAACCAAAGCTAACCATTGCAGGCTTAAGAATGGACCATCCTCAATATCTATACCTAAAGTTTAGAAACCTATAATCAATATTTGCCCTAATATTTCATAGCTTTGTCTTGTAGGAAAATGTTTCAGTTACTTCATAGAATTCAGAATAGCCTCCTGTATTCCAACATCAATTCTGGAATTCAGAACTGGTAAATTTCATGTGGCTACTATGAGTCCCAGGTCATTCATTCCAGAATGTTGGAACAAGCTATGAGCTGTTTGTAGATGATACTCAATACATACATTTTGGACTTTGGTGTCTTTATGAACATGTAATGTTTAGAGAAATGTTTAAGTAAAGAAAACAGTAAAACCAAATTTTATCTAGAGATTTCAAGTGAGAATGTGATCGAATAGTTAAAGTTTCTAGCAGTTTATGTGTGAGAGATGGCCTTTGCCCCATTTTGTTTGGTTTGAAGTCCAGGCGATTACAACTGACATTTATTGACCTGCATATTCCATAGTGTTCTTAAATTTAACTTGCAAAAATGTATAAACTGAAATAGTGTTTACACTGCAGTATTAAACATGAGAAGACACACATTTAGACATAGTATAGAAAGCAATAACACAAAGATAATTAAAAGGTAGAACTTGTAAACCTTGCCTACTAGTTGATATGTCAGGGTTGAGGGGTAAAAAGATAATTTGAAAGAACTTCTGTCTGTGGCTAATAACACAGATGGTTGTGCTCTGAAAGCGTGCTAGAGTTTGTGATTTCTCCAATGGAACTTAGCTGAGGAACCCTATGCTGAGTCCCTCCTATGCTGCTGGAGGCTAATCTCTCTATTCTCCCATTTTTGTGATTTTTATCTGGTCTGACACCCAGCTCTAAAATGGGAGAGATTTATGGACTGAGGTGGAAAGTAAGAGCTCAAACTTAGATAACTTCACTATCAAGCAAATATAACTTGTAGAGTATGCTTCATGTAACTAGATTCATAGTAGTGAATACAAATATATAGAGAACACCCTGGGTACATGTGAGCTTGGAGAGTAGTGTGACATTACAGTAATAATCTATATGAAATCAACTATTTCCTGTAGTTAACTAAATTGAGTGCCACATTTCAGAGTCCTTAAAGCTTCACCACACCAAGTACTTACAGCAGTGAGAATAATGCCACTATTAGTCATAATTGGTGCTTTATAACAGTAATGCATTTCAGCAAATAGAACTCAAGTATTAGAAAATTGGTCTTGCCCTGCAAGTTAAAAGTATATTTTCTCCATCAGTCACAGCATAAAACATATTATTTTAGAATTATAATTTTATGGCACAAATAATAATTTACTGACAATGAAGATCTTGCAAAAATAGAATGAGGTGTTAATCAATGTTCTACTGGAGAATAGGAGATGAGAGAACAGCGGGAATCAATGAGATAGCATTGCATCCTTTTATGGAGAGCTTATAAACCTTATCAATCAAAAAGAGTGCTTGTTTTCTATGCATGAATTGTTTAAAAATTGCGGGTCTTGGAAATTTTACATTATAATCAAACCCCCAGCATACAGCAAACTAATAGACTGATGTCATTTCTAAGGACTTGGCAATTTATTCAACATTAACCACTGGATGTTTGATTTGCTGTCAGAGTTGTATTCTGCTCAACCTAAGGGTACAAAGTCTGTGGAAGAGCTGTTGTCATAACAACCTAAAATTACAAATGGTTTTTCCTGTTTAGAAATGAATCCAAAGATAAATAGTTTTGCTGCCCTCTGATTGTGGCACAATACCGTAGTGACCATGACTAGTCAAGAGAGTCTGGCTCCAATTCTCAGTTTCCTCTACCTTGGAAAGTACATGCTTTTCTGATATTAATCCACCCAGAAATCAGACTCTCTTCATTAAGTACACTGTACCATAAAAGGAAACTGATACTTCTAAGGTCTACTCTGTTCTAGGCACTGCTCATAACACATTTTTGCAGTAAAATTTCAAAATAATTATATAAATGAAATGGTTTTAATCCTTTGTAATTAAAAATAACCTGCAATCCTTTACAATAAAAAAGAGCCCCTGCCTCAGAGAAGTTACATGACACAGTGAAAGATGTATGGCTAGTGAGTCCAAAGGGGATATTTGACCTCAAAGTCCACCATATAGTTTCTATTCTCCCTAGTTGCTTTGTGATATGGCTCTTAAGTAAGATTCTGAGTCTTCAGAACTCGCTTCTTAATCTTTGTTTGTTTTCTGGTGTCACAATTTCCTTTGTCATCTAAGGCATCTTGTGACATACTCTGTTTAGAGTTGGCAGTTGGCAGCATTCCCTCCTTGCTTCCCAAGATTGTCACAGGCAGTGGATGACTTTCTCTGGGCACTGCCCTGACTCTTACTCACCTTGTGCTGAAGTGACCATCTAGTGTGCCATATGGCAACTTGAGGCTCCTGTCCTTGTGCAGCAGCATCTGTCACAAAGGAAGACTCAATGCTGACAACAGAATGTCACAAGAGGCTCCACTCAATAGTGTAGCTGTTGAGGTTTCAGGCTCTGGAAGCAAACATTCTAATTATAGTTTTTGCTTCTACCACTTACCATGTTGGCCTTTAATGAATTCCAAAATTTCTCTGTGCTGCCATTTCCCAGAGGTCACACCAGGACATACCTCACAGAATTGTTGTGAATGTTAGAGGCGGTAGTGTTTAGAGTTCAGCTTGCCAGAGAAGTACTTTATGAGCGTATTTCATGTCATCATCAAAGTTTCTTTCTTCCTTCCTTCCTTCCTTCCTTCCTTCCTTCTTTACTTCCTTCCTTTCTTTCTTTTTATGCAGTCTCCATCTATTCCATGGTACTACTGTCATTTGCAAATAGAACCTAAGTTATAAACTATAACCTATTCAAGTTATACTGTATTAGATTTTATTTGTCAGCGTGGAATAAACCAGGATCATCTGGGAAACAGGAACTCCAGTTGTGAAAATACCTCTATTAAATTGGCTAAAGCCAAGCTTGTGTGGATATTTTCTCCCTTCATGGCTGTTAGAGTTTCATCCCACTGTGGATAGTGCCACAACTGAACAGATACTCCTGCCTTGTGTAAAGAAAGCAGATGGAACAAGCCATTGATAGAAAACCATAAGCAGTGTTCTTCTGTGACCCTTACCTGACTTCCTGCTTAGGTCCTGCTCTGACTTCTCCCACTGATGGACTGTGAAGTGGAAGAATAAGATAGGTATAAATAAATAAGTAAATAAATAAATAGAGAGAAAACAAGTACATAGGTTATCATAAAATTTAAAAAGGAGAGAGAGAGATGCAATAACTTGGTTTGAGATGGCAGACTAGTGATTTGAACGCAAGCTAATGGACTGCTGCTCCTGGTTTGTTAGTGAGTTTGGTAGACTGGGGAACAACAAAGAAAGCCCAGTGAGTGTGTCAGGGATGGATGACTGGCCATGCTAAATGTAACATTTCTCCCCAAAACTCAGGATGGAGCTAAGTGTTTTAGCCTCCGTGTCTCTAAGGTAGATTCCTTCTTAGATGTTTCAATTCTGTGTTTTGCTCTTTGCCTTAGCATGTGAAGTGTCACTCTACAGAAGACTCTTGCTTGTGCCAACATATCTTAGAAGCCAATTCCTAAGATCATAGCCTTGAGGACTTTCCAGATAGTACAGTATTGATCATCTATTCTCCACACCACCTCTGAGAATAGTGCTTATTAAGTAGCAAAATTGAAAAGGTGTAGGACTCATTGATAGCTGGCATGATCTCTTGCCCCAATAAGTGTAAAAGTAGATGAAAAGGAAACTCCTGGTCAGGCACCTCATTTTACAGATGTTAGAACCAAGGAGGATCATGAAACC